TAATAGAGTTCTATTTGGTTATGAGCTGGTGAAGTCTGATCTGAGTGATCTCGTATATCCAGTATACATAATTGCAAAAACGAATGCATGTATTTGTGTTCAAATGTGTGAAAATTGTGCGAAAGTTCTAAGAAAAAATTGGTCCCAAATCCAAATCCGTTAATCAAACTCCAGTAATACGGCCGTCGTTACAACCAAGAGGCAACAACGAAAATACTTTTTTGTATCGTCACGACTGCGATTATATCATTTTACTTTACATAATGAAACCTTTCGACTTGCTTAGCTTTCTCTCTCTCTCTTTATGTTCTTGGTTTAGAACATGTTCCACGAGCAAATTCTTATATTCCCAACATAAATGATATCGCTTTGGCTTACCAACGCTTTCTTCATATGTATTTGCTGTTGCTATTTGGCCGATGATTGTTTTTGATTCTTCTCTGTATTTCGGTTCGTTTTTTCACGATCATATAATATACCTTCTTCAGTGGAAAAAAAAAAAACTATTTAATTATGCTTTGTGTGAGTGGAGATTTTTTTGCGATGAAAACATTTTTTTTGCATCGTTGCGATTTTAATAGGATCGTTTTCTAGACCCACATCACCATCATTGTCGTGAACGCTTAATCCGAACAATAGAGATATCACATCAACTCTATACTGAATCGTTTGATCAATCGTTGCAATCATGTTTGATGAGTAAATCTCTTCTTCTCAAACGACATTACAAATCGCTATATGAACCTGACGTGCGATTCCTTGCGCGTAAAAGAAGTAAGATGCGATTCATTGCGATTCTGCAATGGCTACAGCGTGACTGCCATGGCCAATTGTATCTTAAGGGGTTAGAGTATTGACCAATCTTGGTTCCTCCCAAATCACGGTTGTTCGCAAACACACCCTTATTGAAACCCTATCACCAATGAGTTTCTTGTTGCACAAGGAAGACAATTTAATTCACATTTGCTGTGAAAGGGAAGTAAAGGTTACAATCTCTGGAACTTTGGTGTTTAAAACATTAAAACATTCCATTTTATTTATTTTGTATATTTTTAACATGATTAACACCAAGTTAACTTGACTTTCAAGAGACTAGAGAAAAATGAATGTGCTTAGACATGGCGATGTGATTCTTATGATCATCTTCTTCGTAGTAGTGATTGCAACGACGATGAAGACCTCTACATGTATCATTCACATGGACTTATCTACCAAGCCGTTGCCATTTTCTGATCACGGAGCTGGTTTTCGACAACTCTTATGTCGGTTACTACAAGTAGAAAAACCAAATATTCTCTATGGTATATATTTGGTTTACCAATTCTTAGCGCGGTTCTCACCAACTCTGAGCTCCATCGTCTTCAACACAAACCCGGGTATGCCTCTTTCACTAAAGATTTCCCGGTTAAGCTGCATACAACTTTCTCTCCACAATTCATCGGTCTGATTCAAATTTCGGTACATGGCCGGTCTCGAATTATAGAGCCGGTACACTAATCGCTTTTTCTTTTGGTGGTGGGCATTGTACATCTTCATCATTGCTTCTTTTACTTTATTTATTTATTTGGGGTTTAAAAACGAGGATAAGGCCCATTGGGCTTGAAAAAGGATAATAAGGGTGTTAAAGCGTTTGTCGAACTCGGATATAGATGGCGCTAAAATCCTAAACCTTTTCCCGCCATTTCGACTGATTAATTTGGGATCTAAAACCTAAATTGGATGTTCAGCTTCGCAAAACCCCTCAAATTGGAAGAAATTGAAAATGGCCGGCGATGATTCGACGGAGGTTAACCGTAGACGAAGCCGAGGCGCGGAGGCGTCGAGTCGGAAGGACGCACTCGAGCGGCTGAAGGCGATTCGACAAGGAGGACTTCGGAATCTATCGAGTTCCGGTGGTGGTTACGATATTAGACTGGAGAAGCCGATCTTCGATACGGTTGATGATGACGAGTACGATGCTCTTGTTTCCCAGCGGCGAGAGGAGGCTCGTCGGTTTGTGGTGAACGATGGTGAAGATGGAGATCTGGGTTATCGCGACGAAGGTGAGGAAGAGGATTGGTCTAAGCCCAGTGGACCAGAGTCGACGGATGAATCTGACGACGGTGGTAGGTTTAGCGGGAGACTT